GTCCAATCGAGTCCGACTGTACTACTCCCTGTCGCACCCCGAGGCCAGTTTTTAAGGCGGGCCGGGCGTTTCGCCTGAGACTCTCTCACCAGTTATGACCCTGAAGCTTACAACGTAGCAGCAGCTTCATAGACGGAGGGCGGGCCGTTTGCAAGAGGTGCCTCTCGCCTCAGCGCCGCGTGCGTTCGTTTTCAACCGATGACCGTAGCCTCGACAGGCCACCCGAGTGCTCATAAAACAGGGCTAGGATCGGGATAAATCGCTCCAGAGCGCTCCGGAGCGCTCTCAGAGCGTTCCGGAACACTCTGGAGCGGCCGCGGCGCCCAATACATCCTCCAAAACCGCCGATTCTCAGAGGTTTCGAGTTATCCCGATCCGATTTTGTCCCGATCTTCGCGTCGTTTTACACCCGAGTGCTCAGAGGTGGCCTCGTCGCCCCGGCGCCGTCTTCGGCGGCACCTCTCTGGGGCGCGCCACGCGTTTTGGGGGGGCCTCCTCCTCCTCCTCCTCCTCCTCCTCCTCCTCCTCCTCCTCCTCCTCCTGCTCCTCCTCCTCCGCCTCTCCTCCTCCCTTCCTTCCCTCCCTCCTTCCTTCCCCTCTCCTTCCCTCCTCCCCTCCTCCTCCTCCTCCTCCTCATCCTCATCCTCCCTATCCCCTATCTCCTCCCTCCCTCCCCCTCCCCCCTCTACCCTCAGAGGTGGCCTCGTCGCCCCAGCGCCGTCTTCGGCGGCGCCTCCCCGGGGCGCTCCGCGCGTTTCTGTTGGGGGGGGGGCAGAGGCGTCGAGGCCGCCCCCCGGCTACTCGGGGCGAGGCGCCGCGGCCGCCCCGGGGCTCCTCGGGGCGCCCGCTGGGGCCAGAGCCTGCACACTGCTCCATCCTCCCTTCTGCCTCCTCCTCTCCTTCCTCCTTCCTCATCCTCCTCCTCTCCTCCTTCCTCCCTCCTTACCTCGCTCCCATCCTCCTCCTCCGCCTCCCATCCTCCTCCTCTCCCCCCTCTCCTCCTCCCTCCCCTCTCATCCTCCGCCTCTCCTCCTCGTTCCTCGTCCTCCCCTCCTCGCCTCCTCCATCCCTCCTCCCCCTCCCCCCCTTTCTCCCCCTAGCTCCCTCCTCCCTCCTGCCCCTTCCCTCCCCACTCCTCCATCCCACTACCTCCTCTCCTCCTCCTCCTACTCCTCTTCTACCTCCTTCCTCCTCCTCCTCCTCCTCCTCGGGTCGCCTACGGCCCCGGGGGAAGCCGTGCAGCCTGGGGAGCCTGACCGACCCGGGCTCGCACTGATCTGGGTCAGTACAAGCCCGATAGCGAAGCTTAAATCAGCCCTCGGGGACGAGGAGGCACGAGGTGGTCGTTTTTTAATTCATGCTGTTTCGTCGATCGGCGAGGGCCCTCGCACCCCCTCTCCCCCCCACCCCTGGAGTAGATCTTGGTTGTCTTTGGGCGCCTGCTTCGAGCGGGTGGAGCCTCCCCCTATGGGGCGCACCGTCGCAGACGGACGCAGTAAGCAGAGGTGTCCGGAGGCAGAGCCCTCCAGGTGGAGGAGGAGGAGGAGGAGGAGGAGGAGGAAGGAGGAGGAGGAGGAGGAGGAGGAGGAGAAGGTAGAGGAGGAGGACGTCTGGTGGCGTGACGTGGAGGAGTTCTCTAGAAGAGGAGGAGGAGGAGGACGAGGAGGAGGGGGACTCCCCCCCTTTCCGCCCAATGTCGAGACGCCGAAGAAGATGACGCCTCACGAGGAGGGAGGCAGCGGGGGAGAGTGAGGGGCCCCACCCCCCGCGCGCGCCGCCGACCATCCCGCTAGCTTACAGGGTCTGGAAGGACCGGGGGCAGGAGCCGCGGGAGCTGGAGCAGGCCACGGCGTCGCTGGAGAGGGCCATTAGAGGGCCACATGCGAACCCTACCCCTACCCCCCACGATTTTTAAGGGGGGGGGGTGGGATTCACTCCGCTCGTGAGCTCCCGAGCGAAGTGACCCCCACCCTCCCCCTCAGAGATCGTGGGGGTAGGGGCGCACCGTCGCAGACGGACGCAGTAAGCAGAGGTGTCCGGAGGCAGAGCCCTCCAGGTGGAGGAGGAGGAGGAGGAGGAGGAGGAGGAGGAGGAAGGAGGATGAGGAGGAGGAGAAGGTAGAGGAGGAGGAGGAGGAGGAGGTGGCGGAGGTGGAGGACCCCCCTCAGAAATCGTGGGGGGTAGGGGTAGGGTTCGCAGGTGGCCCCCTAGCCATGCTCGCCCTCGAGCGAGCCACTTCCTGCGGGTTTCGCGCGGGGGCCCTGACGCCGCTGAGGCAGCGCATCGAGAATCTGGCGAAGCTCATCTCGGCGGCGAGCCCGGGGGCGGGCGAGCGGGAGGCGCCGGGTCTCCCCTCGGAAGGCGGCGGGGCGCCTCGGAGGCCCTCGCGCTTGCTGAGATTCAGGAGGGAAGAAAACACACAGACACAGTTAATCGTCGAGTCCCAGGAAAAGATGGGAAAATATGGGAATTGGGCGGGAAGGCAAAGACTCTGAAAATATGGGAAAATATGGGGAATCATTTTATTTGTGTGTATTTTTTTGTGTGTCCTGGGGCCCCTTCAGAGAAGCCGCTCCCGTCTTCGGAGACGGTCGAAGAGATTGCCCAGAAGGCGCGAGGGCTTATGAGAAGCTCCGCCGCCTTCTGAGATGGCCCACCCCTCTGGCTCTCCCCCTTGGACTCGCCGCCGGTCTTCGAGGAGGTGCACGGGGCAATCGCTGGCGAAGCAAGGGGAGCGGGGTCTTCGAGCCTAGCCCCGTGCGTGTGGGCGGCTGGCCAGTACACCGAGAGCCTCGCGACGATGCAGAAGGACCTCAACCAGGAGGTCCTTATCGTGCAGAGCAACAGCCAGTACAAGATTTTGGAGGTTGGAGACACTGTGAAATGTCGGCCAAGTGGCCGGCTGGGTGCCATTATCGAAGTCGACCGGCTGGAACTCCCCTACAAGGTGAAGTTCGATGACAACCACGAGGAGGATTGGTTCCCCGAGTCTGATGTCGTCTTGCAGAAGGAAGCTCGTCGCTCGAGGTACGTCAACACGGACGCCATCCGGCGAGATCTGGCCCATGCGCTAGACTCGGTGCAGACGTCGTTGACCGCACGCGTGCACATAGGGCTTCACGTGCAGGTCGGCGTGCTCTTGGTGGCAGTCCTCTGCGGTTACGCGCTCGGCTCCTCCCGAAGCCTGCCCGGCTCCCTCGAGATCCGCCGCGCCGCGCCGGCCGCTGGCGCCCGGCAGGGCGGGCGGGAGGAGGGCCCCGCGGCCGAGCAGGCAGGGGGCGGCTGGAGCCCCCCCGCGAGATCTGACCACGTCGGGTCGGACGACATGGAGGTCGGGAGCGGCAAAGAGGGGGGTGATGACTAGGGGGGGTGGATATCATGGCGGGGGCCATGATGTTTCCTCAGATTCCACGGCGCCTCTCCTTCATTCCATCACGTCCTTGGCCCCCCCGCGGGGCCGCGCACATGCCGCCAGTCATGGTTTGCACCCCCCCCTCTTGGACACCCCCCTCTTGGCCGCTCCCGAGGAGGGGGGGGTCAGGGAACGGGAGGACTGGTGATCGTTTTCCTATTCATCGCTTGGCCGATCGGCGCGAGCCCTCGCCCCGCCCCCCCCCCCCCCCCCCTTGGAGTGGATCTTGGTTATGTTTGGCGTCTGTTTCGGGCTGGTGGAGCCTCCCCTCATAGGACGCACGGTCGCAAACAGTCGTCGCACTAAGCAGAGGGTCGGAGCCAAACCCCCCCCCTCCTCCCCCCCCTTTCCGCCCAGTGTCGAAACGCCGAATCAAAGACGCTCACCTACGAGATCTGCTGCATGCAGCTGGCTTCGGCCCCGCCGCAGAGCGTTCTCTTCGATGCGGCGCGTTCCACCAAAGTTGAGTCGGGCGTGTCCCTCTACAGGACGAAGATTCAAGAACAGTCAAACAATACTCTGGTGATTCTTATTTTAGTATGTGTTACCATGTTTGAGCATCCTTGGGGTATTTGTTTTTGTTCGTCCAAAATATGCCTGCAGGAGGACATGCCCGACCTAACACAAAGGGCATCGCCTTCAGCGCGTCTCGCCTTCGGCGGAAGACTGGCGAAAGCTGGCAGAAGCGAATCGGCGGCGGCTCCGCCAGTGGAAGGCGGCGGAAGTAAAAGTGGTGCGTTCACATTTTTGGATCCAGGGTTAAGTTGGGCGTGTCCCTCTAGGAGGAAAATACAAAGTCAGTCAAAAGACAGTCAGGTGGGGCGATGTTTGAATACGTTTGAACATTTGGGAGCATGTTTTGGCTATTGCTTATTTTTCGTCCAAAAACCGCCTGCAGGGATTCTGGAGTCGGCCGCAGGGGCGCTTCCGGCCCCATGAGTCGCCGGAAAATCTTGCCGCGTCGGCTTAGTCGCCAACCCCCCCTTTCTTACCCCCTCGCTTCCGACTCGAGCACGGGGAGGCAGGGCCTGCAGGTGGGTCGCCGAAGTCCCTGGCATCGCCCGAGGAGCATCCTTGAACAATTGGCGAAAAAAACACACACGAAACCGAAAAAAACACAGGGAATGGACGTCCGAGCGATACCCAGAGTCGGAGGCGGATGGCACGGAAGAGCACGAGAACGAGGACGCTGCGGAGGACACACAGCAGAAGAACACTGGTCTTTCTCTGGAGGAGGTCGAAGACACAGCCAGCTTGGCAATCCTTACCAAGAACGTCTCACTTCTCTCGAGGGCAATCGAGAAGCATGACATAAACAAGATATACGTGTTAGGCGACTCCACGGCGACATACATCACTGTCGACGAATTGCAGTGGTGCCACAATTTCATGCACAAGTTGCTGTCTTATGAGTTTTGTATTCGAGATGCTCGGTGTGCTCGGACCAAACGGCAGACTGCCGATCCTTTTTGCTCTGATGGTGTTCACCTCGATATTATTGGCGCGATGCTTGATGCCAATGTGAGCAGGAGTCAAGTCTTGTACTGGCTAGCGAAAGACGACGAAAGCGGTCGACAGCGATTGCATCCTCATGTCCGGGAGCGTTTCTGTCAATACATGAACTCTCATTCTCGCAATTGCACCCATCCTGAAGCATTGCAGCTCGGGTATCCTTTGGATCAGACGATGGTGATCCTAGAGAATTTTAGGCCCGAGCTGGGTGTGCACATGAGAAACGATGGTGGGGGTTACGTTGTCCCGATACCAACTAAATGCACAGTGCCACATAAACAGTGGCCAGAGAATTGGGGCAAACATTTTCAGCTACGTTTTGTGAACGGGAGTACGGCCAAGCTTCACGTCATCCGAGGATCCATGGCGGCAGAGCTTTTCTCACCTTGGACAGAGACCTTCAAGGAAAGTCGCATGCTTGACCAACGACCGAAAGCTCCAACCATAGACGGCTTGGCGCCGAAAGATTTTTGGCGGTGCGCAGCATGACTGCTTGTACCGTGCAGCAAACTAGTTGTAACTGGTTGAATTCGTTGCACATGGCAGTTAGAATACACAGGCTCTGCTGTGCGTGTGCGATGCGTCGTGTTACGCTGACAAGAGGCATCCTTCTCCAGCTGGCTGTGGCCAACCCAACCACTGTGAGTGGAGGCGCTGGCCACCCAATCGTTCGAGGCATCGGGAGACAGCTGCACGAACAGGTAGATGTTCGAGGACGCCAGCGGTGCGTCACCAGCCGCTCCGTGGGAGTTGTTCAGATCTGTGCCGCCGGCCCCAGCAGCTTGAGCCGTCATGAAGCTGTCGAATGGCTTTCGGCCTATCCCGCCACCGGGCCTGGGTGGTGGGTCAGAGGCCTCATGGATGTTGGTTGGGATCTCGTGGTTGGCCCCTCGGGGAGCTCTGGGAGCAGTTCAGAGGCCTCCTGAAGCCTCTTGGGGGCAGTTTCGGGGGCCTCTTGGGGCCTCTTTGGCGCCTCTTGGGGGCCTCTTTGGGCGTCTTGGGAGCCTCTTGGGGGCCTCTTGGAACTCCTGGGGGCCTCTTGGAGCGGAAGGCTCAAATTTTCGGTTCCGGGTACCCTTCTTGGGCCCTTCTTAGGGCCGTCTTGGGGCCTCTTGGGCAGAGAGAGAGAGAGAGAAAGAGAGAGAGATAGAGAGAGAGAGAGAGACAGAGAGCGTTCACAGGGGATCGCGTGCGCGACCGTACCATCGTTTCTTTCGGATAGCGTTGTCCATGTCGCAACCTGTTTCATATGGGTTGGTACCTCCGTGGGCGATGGCCCTGTCGTGGGCGAATTGGGGCCATTCTTGGGTCATCGTAAAAGCAAAATCAGAACTTCGTTGGTGGTCCTGGGCTCTCCTGGTTGCGTGGTGTCCACGGGAGTCTTGGAACAACCAACAAAGACCAGCAGGTTGAGGAATTTTCATGGGTGGTTGTTTGGGGGCCCACCCCCCAGTAGACAGCAACATGTAGACAGGACTGAAGAAACAGCGGACAACAGTTAGCCTGGCGACGGACCCAACCATATGCAGTTGAGTGCATTGCAGGTGTGAATATCGTTTTCGGTGGAGCTCCCTATGGGGCCACGTAGCGTGTGAGGGGTATGCCAAAGTATTGGGGGAGGGCATTTGGGCGCTGCCACTTTGGCCTTCAGCGGAGCTCCTTATGTGGCCGCGAAACGTGTGAGGGGTGTCCCGAGATGTGTGGCGGGGACGCATGCGAATTGCCCCACGGGGCCTTCTGGAGCTCCCGATGGGGCCACGAAGCGTGCGGGGGGCGTGCCGAAACGAGTGGCGGGATCGCATGCGGGCGGCGCCACGGGGACCTTCGGTGGAGCCCCCATGTGGTGCCACGAATCGTGTGGAGTGTGTGCCGAAATGGGTGGCGGGGACGCACGCGGGCGGCGCCACGGGGACCTTCGGTGGAGCTACCTATGGACCACGAAACGTCCGAAACGTCTGATCGCGTGTGTCGAAATGGGTGGCGGGGGCGCATGCGGGCGGCGTAACGGAGACCTTCGGTGAAGTACCCCATATGGGGCCATTTAGGCGTGTGAGGGGTGTGCCGACATGGGTGACGGGGACTCATGTGGGTGGTGGCCTTAGGACCTGTGGTGGAGTTCCCTGTTGGGCCACGCGAAACGTGTGAGGGGTGTGTTGAAATTTGTTGCGGGGGCTCATGCGGGCGGCGTCACGGGGACTTGCGGTGGAGTGTTCTATGGCGCCACGAAACGTGTGCGGGGTGTACGGTGTACCGACATGGGTGGTTGGGACGCATGCGGGCGGTGCCATTGGGGTCTTCGATGGAGTTCCCTATGGGGCCACGAAACGTGCGAGGGATGTGCCGAAATTGATGGCGATGATGGTGATGATGACGGCGATGGTGGTGATCATGACGGTGATGATGAATGTGAGGATGATGGGAGCACGGGGGATAGGGGGCGAGGAGGGCCAGAGGGGGGACGCGGGGCGTTGCCTCTTCAAGATGAGGACCCAGCACCACAGGATGGTAGGGGGAAGAGCGGAATATCAAGAACACGTGATAATAATCCAGTAGAAGGCTTCACAGTTTTGCGTCCCCAAGGGGTCCAGAATTGCGTTCCTTGGTGAACAGCTCGCGTCGCGAGGCCAAATGGCCCCAAGCGAGTTTGCCCCGTGTCTTTTACTCCTTCTCCTCCTCCTCCTCCTCCTCCTCCTCCTCCTCCTCCTCCTCCTCCTCCCCATCTCTTCCATGTCTCGCCCTCTCCCTCGTCCCGCCCTCCTCCCGCCCTCTCTCCTCCATCCTCCTCCTGCAGTCCCTCCCCTCCTCCCTTCCACTCCCTCCCTTCCACTCCCTCCCTCCCTCCCTCCCTGCCTCCTTCATCCTCCTTATTCTACGCCTCCTGCGTAGCCATCTCAGTTCGAGGCCGAGCCAAGCCGAACTCGCCGCCCTCTTAGTGCGCTTCCTGGCGCCCGCCCGCAATGTTCCGCCGCGTCACCCGCAGCATGACTTGGGGGTCCTATGCGTGGCCAGAGGAGGAGGAGTAGGAGGAGGAGGAGGAGGAGGAGGAGGAGGCAGGAGGCAGGAGGCAGGAGGCAGGAGGCCAGACGAGGAGGACGAGGAGAAAGAGGAAGTGAAGGGCGACTTTCGAGCAGGAGAACGAGGAGGGGAAAGAAGAGGAGATCCAGCAGGAGGTGAAGGAATCAGATACACCTTATCAGATTCTTGATCCCTCCCTCGTGCTCCCGTTCCTGCCCCTGTACTGATACCTTTCTCTTATCCCTCCTAGCTATCATTCCTCTTCTTCCTCCGTAGGTCACTCTTCATGCGAGGGCCTTACCGCTGGTGCCGCCTACCCTGAGGCGGGACCTCCCTTGGGACCTCAACTGGCGACCCCCCCTTTTGGGACCCCCAGGGATCCACCGGGACCTGGGGGGGGGGGGGGGGCGGCATTCTGACCCGCGACCACCCCCCGTACCCCCCCCACCCCGTGCCAAGGAAAGGAGAAAGGAAAGGGAATCGACTTAATAGTGTTTCTTTTGCGACGACGACGACGACGACGACGACGACGACGACGACGACGACGACGACGACTCAAACGGAAAATCGTCTCACACACGCAAAGGGTCGGCTGATTTCTTCTCACTTCCTCACCCCAATCTTATCCCTCCATGCCTCCTCCTCCTCCTCCTCCTCCTCCTCCTCCTCCTCCTCCTCCTCCTTCTCCTCGTCCCGACGGCGAGCAGCAGGACGAGGAGGAGGTGGAGGGGAGTGGGGAAGGAAGAGCAGGAGGACGTGGAGGAGGTGAAAGGGGAGTGGGGAAGGAAAAGCAGGAGGAGGAGGACGACGACGAGGATGGAGGAGGGGAAGGAGGACCTGGAGGAGGAGGAGGAGGAGGAGAGGAGGAGGAGGAGGAGGAGGACGAGGACGAGGACGGACGAGGACAAGGAGGAGGAGGAGGACGAGGACAGGAGGAGGAGGAGGAGGAGGAGGAGGGGAGGAGAGGAGGAGGAGGGGAGTGAGGAGGAGGAGGAGGAGGAGGAGGAGGAGGAGGAGGAGGAGGAGGAGGAGGAGGAGGAGGAGGGAGGAGGAGGGGGAGGAGGAGAGGAGGAGGAGGAGGAGATGGAGGAGGAGATGGACGAGGTGGAGGAAGAGCCGGAGGACGAGCAGGAGGAGGTGGGGACGAGGGGCGGGGAGAGGAGGAGCGGCGGCGGCAGCAGGAGGGCCCCGGAGCTCCGACCTCGCGTTTTTCCACAGCGTCGAACCCCCAGAGGTCTGCGCTCCTTCCCCAGGCCCAGACCCGCTGGGGACGACGACGACGACGACGACGACGACGACGACGACGACGACGACGACGACAGCTCCCTGCGCTGCTCCTCCTCCTCCTCCTCCTCCTCCTCCTCCTCCTCCTCCTCCGCCTCCTCCTCATCATCATCTTGCCTGGCGCCCCGCCGGCCAGCCGGAGGCCGCTGCCCTGGCCTGCTGTTCAGCCGGGGTCCTTCTCGGACGGCCCCCAGGGGCCGAGGCCGGGCCCCCAGAGGCCGAGGGGGCTTCGCCTCCTCCCCCCCCGACTCGAAAGGGAGCTGGGGCAAAGGCGAGAGATAGCGAGCGTTTGTCCGCGGCCGTTTGTCTCAGGCGGCCGGCCGCCAAGGTATGACTGCGCCTCGTCGCGAGGCACACCCCTTGCCATGGAGGCCGAAAACGCCTTCGCTCGACATGGCCCCGCCTCGGCCCCCCGGGGGCCGAGCATGCCCAAAACTTTACCGTCCTGATTGCCTCAAGGCGAGGGGGGCGGGGCCGGGGGGAGGAGGAGGAGGAGGGAGGAGAGGAGGAGGAGGAGGAGGAGGAGGATGAGGAGGAGGAGGGGAGGAGGAGTGAGAGGAGGAGGAGGAGGAGGAGAGGAGGAGGAGGAGGACGGAGGAGAGGATGAGGAGGGGGAGGAGGAGTGAGGAAGGAGGAGGTGGAGGAGGAGGAGGAGGGAGGAGAGGAGGAGGAGGAGGAGGAGAGGAGAGGAGGAGGGGAGGAAGGGAGGTAGGGAGGAGGGAGGGAGGGAGGAGGTAGGAGGAAGGGAGGAGGGAGGAGGGAGGATATGTTGCGGCGGAGAAGGAGCCCTTCCGCGCCGCCGCCGCCACCGCCCCCGCGGAGGTCGTCCCTCAGCGCCAGCGAGACGGCCGCGGTGGAGCAGTTGGTGGCCACCCGCTCGCAGCCGCGGGACGAGAGCCCCGCGGACGGCGAGGCCGAGGGCTTCCCAGCTTCCACCGAGGACCGTCGACGTCGTCTGTCGCCATCTCTTTCGACCTCCTCCCACCAACCCCCTCCCTCCCCTTCCTCCTCACATCCTCCTCCTCCTCCTCCTCCTCCGTCCTCCTCCTCCTCCTCCTCCTCCTCCTCCTCCTCCTCCTCTCCTCCTCCCCCTCCTCCCTCCCTCCTCCCTCCTACCTCCTCCCTCCTCCCTCCTCTCCTCCTCCTCCTCCTCCTCCCCTCCTCCTCCTCCTCCTCCTCTCCTCTCTCCTCCTCCTCCCTCTCCCTCCTCCCTCCTCCTTCCCTCCTCCTCCTCCTCCTCCTCCTCCTCCTCCTTCCTCCTCCTCCCTCTTGCTCCTCTGCTCCTTTGCTCCTCCTCATCCTTCTCCTCTTGCTCCTCTTGATCCTCTTGCTCCTCCTCCTCCTTCTCCTCCTCCTCCTCCTCCTTCTCCTCCTCCTCCCTTCCTCCCTCCACGGGGCTCGAGGGTCGAGTTTTTGTGGGCGGATTCGAGCTTCTCGGGGCCTCCCGGAAATCTCTCGGGACCTCGTCATCTGCCTCCCCTCTTCTTCCGCTGGCCCCCTATCCTCCACGACAGGAAAGACTCCTCCTCCTCCTCCTCCTCCTCCTCCTCCTCCTCCTCCTCCTCCTTCTCCTTCTTCTCAACAACATCATCATCATCATCATCATCATCATCATCATCATCATCATCATCATCATCATCATCAGCAGCAGCAGCAGCAGCAGCAGCATCAGCATCAGCATCAGCATCAGCATCAGCATCATCCGCATCATCCTCATCCTCATCCTCATCCTCATCCTCCTTGATGATGATGATCACGCCCTTTGACGTCTTCATGGCGTCCACGTCCCATGTGCCTAGGACGGTGGACATATAATTACGCGGACGACGTGACTGTCCATGTCCTCGAGCATGTCTTTACTGTCACCGTCGCGCTGCTCAATCGCCTGGCTGTGGTGTCTCAGGCGCTAGAGCTGCCGACAGCCAAGGACAAGGCAAAGGTTCTCAGCTCGGATCACGAAGTGGCAAAGCCGGTGGCCAACCTTACGAAGCGACACCGATTCAGACCAGCCACCTCGTTCAACACCCTGGGCATGGAGACGCGAGCAGGACGGCCCATCACCTTCGCAGCACTGCACACAAGGGTCAGAAGGGTGAAGGTGCGCCTCCTAAGGTTCAGGAGAATGAGAAGCTCACTGCACCTTGCTCGCAAAGTGGGCCGGCCTAGCCTGGGCCCTGCGATGCAGTATAGGTTTCAGGTGGTCAGCGCGGTTCCTGCGACGGTGGCCTCTACGACGAAGATTGCGAGGGCGGGCCGTGTGGCAAGACGCCACCAGCGACATCCACATGGTTGACGTCACAAACAACCACATCACCACATCAGTAGCCTGAGTGTGTTGCGACGGCGGAGCCGATATTTACATGGGCGCAGCTAGTCATGGGGAAGACAGTGCCACATGCAGTGCTAGACAGGGCATGGCGACGGCAGGGCGGCATCCTACGAGGCACGCGCGCTCCATGGAAGCACGTCGTTGGACCAGCAGGCGCAGTGAGACAATGCCGCAAGAAGCTGAACTGGCGGTACACCAGATTCTCGCAATGGGTCACAGGTACGGGTATAGTGCTTGACTTGACGGACATCTCCCCCATTTGGGTTCGCAAGGTGGCTCGCCGTGCTTACGAGAACGTGAAGTGGGAAGCTTGGGCAAGGGGTTCCGACGTTGCCGCCCCTGAAACAGAGTCCCCCAACAGAGACCCGAGAGGATGCTGGCTCGAGCCGCTGCGCATGATGCTGACGGCGCCTCCGACGGCCAAGCTATAGAAGCTAGGCCTACGCGCAGCAGGTACGCTCCGTTCTGCAATCATTGGTGGGCAGTGGTCTCAGTTACGACTTGTCATCTTGTCAGCTGTGCGATGAAGGGTGCGATGGGATCTAGCATCACAGGACATGGACATGCCCACGCCTGTGCCGTGAGCGCGCCGAATCGGTGGACGAACCGACCACTGAGCTGGTAAAGACTGCGCCAGACAGCGAATAATTTTTCACCAGGGCGCTGGCGTCGCGCGCGCAGCTGCCCCGCGCCCCTCCCCCAGCGCACTGCGACCACTGGCTCTAGCATCGATGGGAGGAGGGCTTAGCGATCACGGGCAGCATCTTCACCGACGGCTCTGGGATCATGGGCAGGCACCGCCTCAGAGGGCTTGCGTACGGCGCCCTGCCAGGCTATGATCAGGGCGTGTGCCGAGAGCGGAGCTGTGCGCGACTGCCCAGGTCATCAGGAGCGCGATTCTACCAGTTGCGATACGGACTGATTGTACCAATGTGGTGGAGTCAATTC